AAAAAAAAAAAAAAAAAACAGCAGAATTTAACCTTTTCGTTCAGAGCTTGAAAAGTCATCTGTGGATCCTATTTAAGAAATAATTCTCTCATTAGCAGGCAGGGGTTGGGGGTGGTTTGGTTCAGCAGCCAGGCAGGAAGGCCATGTTTGAAGCACATAAATTCCCAGCAGAAGAAGCTAGATTCCAGAGAAAGAGAATCAGAGTGTGAGAGAAAGATAGATGTAGAGAGAAATGGCTTCAAGCAGCCACACAGCCTCCAGAGTTAGGCAACCACCTAGAAACTGCTCTTTCCCTGCGTCACCCTCAGTGGGTTTGTTTCTTAAAATTGAAAAGGTCCCTGGCCCTCTCTAAGACCAAAGCCATTGATAAGCCTTTTGGAGAGAGGAAGGACGTGGAATTTTAAGAGGATCCCTTGGGCAGTGGGAAGGCAATGGCTACTAACCTAAGCATCCACAGTTCTAACTCCCCCATCAGCGCTGCACAAGAAAGCCTGGTGATCTGCTTCCGTAAAGAGTATGGCCAAGAAATCCCTAGGGAGCAGCCCTGCTCCGCAACGCATGGGGCCGCCATGTGTTAGAATTGACTTGGCAGAGGGTTCACTTTGTCAGTGGCCTCTCCGGGGTTAGAGGAAGGCAAAGATGGAGGTGAGAAGTTTAGAGAGACGATGGGGCGTGAGTCAAGAGTCCCTTGGTTCGCAGGAGATCCTGGATAGAGTGGGAGAACAGTGGGGAACAAAACTCAAAATCGTACAAAAACAAACAAACAAACAGATTTACTGGTCTGATAGAGCCTGGTGAGACCCCTGAGACTGTGGCTCCTAGTTACCATTCAGGTCTGGAATTGAATTTACTCCGATGGCTTCCAGCAAACATATAGGGTGAACATTTACATCAGGTAGATACAGTCCTTAGAACGATCAGTCATGGGAAAACAGAAAGGCAGTATGTGGTATAGTAAATTAGCTAGTATGGCTTTTCTAGCCATAAGTCTTTGTAAACTCCGTGGTGGAATTTGCTGTGAGCAACTGAGGAGCTCCTGATTGTAAAAGTTATCCACCTGGGGTATTTCTGTTGGGTGTGGCACAGTCATGTTCTGGGAGGCACATGCTCTCTCTCTCAGGTGCTTAGTATTCTGATGTTATGATTGGCTAGTTTGGGCACTCTGCCAGGTTCAAAAGGAGGCCTCCTAGAGGCAGAACTCTCTCTGACTGCTGGTTGAGGAAGACATGCTGTTGAAAGAGACACGCGCTTCTGAAAGACATGTGCAGCTGGGAAAGAGACGCAAGAGACACGTTTTGCTGAGTGAGACACCGGGGGACACGCACTGCTGGGAGAGAGACTCTGAGAGACTGTTGGCTGAGACACAGCGGGCTGGGAGAGAGACTGAGCGTTTTTCCTGAACTTGAATCGTAGCCTGGTGCTTCCCTAATAAACCCCATAATCTGTGAGTTCTGTGTGGCCACTGCAGCAAATTATCAAACCCAGGAGAGAGGTTGTGGGTGCTTTGGGAGGAACAGTTGGTGAAAGGGCTTGAGGGAGACAGCATGTCTGGCCTCGCAGGAATAGGGCTTGGGTTACTGCTGGTGATTCTGTCTTCCTCTTGTGGGGTTAGAGGAGGTCAGAAGATGTGGCCTCCTTGCCCTTTTAGCACAGTATTTGCACAGGAAGATAACTTGGGACAGGAATTCATTGGAAAGGACACAGGGAAGGGGTAACTTTGGGGAGGAAGTAGAAAGAAAGCTGTTGCATTGTAGGAAATTACAGTCAATGTCATTAAACTGTCATTGAATTGCTGTATGGAAAATGAATTTGATCTGTAAACTTTCACCCAAATCACAATAAAAATTTTAAAACAAAACAAAAATAAAGGGGCCAGAAATCTAATTTCAGCCTTCTCTGGCAATGGGGCTCTGGTGGCATAGGGCTCAGGCATTTGACTGCTAACCAGAAGGCTGGCAGTTCAAATCCACCAGTCACTCCTCAGAAGGAAGATTGGGCAATCTACTTCCACAGTGATACTGCCTCAGAAACCCAAGGAGGGGTCGCTATGAGTTGGATCCGACTCAATGGCAGTGAGTTTCTGGCAATGGGGAGCACAAGGTTTGTAGAAACAGCCATGGTAAGAGCCACAGAAACATCCAGAACCAGTAACCCACTGCCACCACCAGCTGTCTGCCACATCCCGGCTTCTGTCTGCTTGCCAGCATCACCTTGTCTTGTAGTGTTCTGGTATCTTCTGTGTGATGCTAGCAGCTTCTGATTCTCCCTCCTACAGTGCCAGCCCCCAGGAAGGGACAACTGCTGAGCTGATAACATAACAGGCGTCCATTCCTGGAGGCCATGGTCATGGTTAGCAAGAGGAGAAGGCTGAGCAGGTAGTGTCAGTGGGGTTAGAGAGGAGGAGGTGGAGGTAAGAGCCATGTGAGGTAGCTCAAGAAGGCATGGGTTAGCACTGACCCTGAGGGTGATAGCAGGAGTTTGCTGGTGCAGGTGTTTCACTTCTCTCCTTGGGTGGATGGCACCAATGGTCACCTCTCTTCTCTCTTCACCTTTTCCTTTGGTAGGTATGAAACGCAGGTCTCCTTGTTGGGCCCCTACGTGACCTCCGTGATGGGAAAACGGACTCAGGAACAGGAGTTCTGGCAGTTCCTCCAAGTCCCTGACACCCCTCTATTGCAAGGTGAGTCTGGTGGCCTGCCACCCCTGTACATGTGCCTAACCCAACCCTATCCCAGCAACCAAACTTTGCCCAACTCACCCCAGTTTTTTTTTTTTTTTAAATCATCAATGCTCAAGGCTGGATGTCACCGTTCAAACTAAATTCTTAGAATTGCTATGTAAGTCATTATGGAAACTCTAGGAAATTAGATAGGCCAAAAATAAAATTTAACTAATCCATAACTCACTACCCAGAAATAACAGCTTTGAACTTTTTGGTGTATTTTCTTCCATCTTTTATCAAATTTTCTTCCATCTTTTATTTCATGTTTTCATGAAAACAGACCCATACTCTGTTATCGATTCTGTCCAACAGAAATGTAATGTTAGCTACATGTATAATTTTGGATTTCCTAGGAACCACAATCAAACCAAGGTGAAATTAATATTAATGCAAAAAAACAAAAAACAAACAAACAAACAAAAACCCCAAACCCACTGCTATCGAGTCAATTCTGACTCATAGTGACCCTCACTAGGTTTCCAAGGCTGTAAACCTTTATGGAAGTAGATTGCCGCATCTTTCTCCTGCAGAGCAGCTAGTGGGTTTGAACCACTGACCTTCTGGTTAGTAGACAAATGCCTTGCCCACTGCGTTGCCAGAGGCCCTTATTATAACCAGAAGGATGACAGTTCAAATCCACCAGCCACTCCTCAGAAGGAAGGTTGGGCAATCTACTTCTGTAGTGATCCCACCTCAGAAACCCAAGGAGAGGCCACTCGACCACAATGAGGTTTTGTTTTTTTTTTTCTTATTTAATCCAATATATCTAAAATTTATCTTTCTAATATGTAATCAATACAAAATTATGAAACAAAATTATGAATGACATATTTTACATGCTTTTTTTCCTACTAAGTTTTAAAGTACTTACTTAATAGCTACATGTAGCCAGGGGCTCAGCCTGTTGGACAGTGCAGCTCCATCTGTTTTGAAACATTTTTTTTTCCCTCTTAATACATTGTAGACCTCTTTCAGTGTTGATATTGTGGATCATCCCCATTCTTTGTAATAGCCATGTAGACTATATAATCCGTTAGTGTGCATTGGGCTGCAAGTAGCAGGAAATACAATGTAAATGAGCTTCAACAATAAGGGCTTCCATTGGCTAATATGACAGGAAGTGCAAAGGCTTCAGAACTGATGTAACATGGCCTCCAATCCCACTTCCCTGCAATTCCTTTGGCTCCATCTTCTTTGTTGGGTTCATCCTTCAGAGACTCTTATCTCTTCTTGTGGGTCCTCCCTTTTATGACTGAGGAAACTTATCCCTGAATTTCCCAGCAGACTTCTGGCATGTCAAAGGATACATGTCCATTCCTGGACTCACTCCTGTTGCTAGGAGATCCCCAAGGCTCTGAATCCACCAGTAGCTAGGGAGATGGGATCACCACGACTGGCTTAGACCAATCAGGGCCTGCCCTGGTGTTGGGCTCCTATAGGGTGCAATGTCGTGCAGTGTGGGATGGATGGGCCATAGCTGGGTCAACTCCTAGTGGACCATTAGAGTGTCTCAGGTTTCAACTCTTAGACCTCAAGCTGTGATGACCATCCTGTGAATCAGCACAGTTACTGGACAGGCTTGAAGTTCATCCTACCCTACTCTTGTTACTTAAGATCCTTTTACAACAACCTATATGGGAATTTTATTGGGTAGCATTGTGGTGAAAGCATTGGGCTGCTAACCAGAAGGTCAACAGTTCAAACCCACCAGTCGTTCAGTGGGAGAAAGATGAGGCAGAGCTTCCGGAAGATTTACAGCCTTGGCAACCCTATGGGGCAATTCTACTTTGTCCTCTAGGGCACCATGAGTCAGAGTTGACTCAATGGCAGTGCTTTTATCATGTGTCAGCCATTATGCCAAGTGCTTTAGAGAAGGATGGACTTTCTGAGGGAGCCCAACGAAAAACATTCTTCTGCCTTGGCCAGACCTGAATAGAGAAAGCCAGCAAAGGGATGGCAGGTGGCGACCCCTAATGATAGCCTTTATCACTGATAAAGGTTAGACCAGAGAGTGGAAATTAGCGTGAGGGCCAGATGGCCTCTGCCTTGAGTTCTGTTCTCTACCACCACCTCTGCCATCCAGCCCTGCAGAAATCCCACTCCCAAGGTTACATATGCCCGGCTTAGTCTTCTCAATTTAACCAATTGCAGAAACCACCCTTCCACCTTCCCCGGGATAGGGGGTGGCTGGGAGTTAGAGTACTTCAGTTCTCGTCATTGAAAGCAAACATCCATGACACATGGGTTCACTCAGAGGGTCCTTCCAATGAACCCACAAGTTGTTGATATTATCCTCATTTCACAAATGAGACAACTGAGACTCCCAGGGGTTAAATAACTTGCCTAAAGTCACATCCCTAGCAAGTGGCAGAGCGTGTGCTTAGGCCCAGGTGGACTGTCTCTAGTGAGCTGAAGGCTGGCTCCTGGGAGAGTCCTCCGTGGTCCTCGTTCTCCTTTGGGACTACATCAAGGACCACATCAAGAGGGACTGACTAGTTCTTCTTCCTGATGGCCTTCTAGAGACTAGGAAGACAATGGTCCTGCCCCTCATGAGTTGTTAGGGTCTGTCACTTATGTTTGCCATCCACCATGGTGTCTAGTACCTCCGCTCTCTGGGGGGCTGCCCCATTGTAAAGTGAGCATGAGGGACTCGATGAGCCCTGAGGTTACAGCTGAGTTCCGTCTCCCAACTGGCTCTGGACAACACCCAGATTCCCACCACACTGAGTAGATCTGACAGACATTGGCCCCAGGGTGGGGGGGCTCTAGAAGATGAGCTTGGGGGTGGATATTTCAGTCTGCTGACCCCCAGTGCTGGGCCCATTCTCTTTCTGCAGGAATTGCTGACTACAGGCCCAAGAATGGAGAAACCATTGAGTTGAGGCTGGTTAGCTGGTAGCCCCCGGGCTCACTCACCCATGCTCTTGCGGGTATCTGCCCTTCCTCCAGACGTCCCCATAAGAGGCACTGCCTGACCCTCTGACATCTCCTGTGCACTTGGAGCAATGTACCCCACATCATCCCCTGCTACCGCCTCTGTGAGGGCCCTACACCAAGGCCCCTGGAACTGAGAGTCACCTTCCCTTGGAAGTCCCTGAGCCTGGCTCTGGCCCAGTCTGGGCCCAGCAGGTGTCCCAGGAAGGTCATGACAGTCTGAAGGCCATGAAGAACTTCCGCCTCCTCTGGCAGAAGGAGAAGTTGCTGGCCAGCACTGGTGTCGTGAGTACTGTCCACACTGGGATGGTGGTCCTTCAGGAGGTGCATCTGACCCCAGTGTTCCGCTCCTGGCCAGGTGGCACTCCACAGCAACCATGCCATAAAAACTAGCCAGGGGGCTCCATGGGATGCTCAGCACCCACCTCCTAAAATTAAAGAGTTGATTGTCTGTGCACATGTTACAGTGACCTGCAGCCTCATGCTTGAGGGTCTGGAGAGAGAAGCGGGCAATAGTCCCTGGAGAAACATGGAGGAGAGAGGAGGCGGGCACACGTCCTCTGGGGCACCGGGGGAGTGATGATGGCAGTGGAGAGGATGGTGGTGCAGGCACGGGGCTAGACAACTTTTCTTGCACAACCTCATGAATTGGTTGATATTTTTGTCTTCATTTCTGCATTACAGATAAGGAAACTGGGACTCAAAGAGGGAAGATGACTCACCCTAGCTCATAGACCAGGCAGTGGGAGACAGTGTTGGGCAGGGACATGGGCACTGGCTAGGGAGTCAGACAGACCTGGCCCTGGCAGCCTCCTGGCTCTCCAATCAAACACTCAAAACTGGGGACTATAGTCACTATGGTGACCACTTGGTAGAGCCCAGATTCAAATGGAGGCCCAGGACCCTGGGGTCGGGCACTCATTATTGCTTTTCCCCCAAACCACAGTCTGGGTGTCAGATAATCCTGCCTCTCAGTGGCAGGAGGTGGGGTTCAAGCCAATGAGGCACCCTGCCTGGGACCTGCCTCCACCAGCTTGGGCAGGGCCCTTGGCCATTAGAGGGGTCTCTGGTGTACAGCACATGGGGTTTCGGTCCAGGTGCGTAGGAAGACACAGAGATACACAAGAGTCCTCAAAGTCACACATTTGTAAACGTGTCTCTTCCTTAAGGAGCTCTGCTGGTGCAGAGCCTAAGGTGTTTGACTGCTAACTAACCCACCAGCTGCTCCAGGGAAGGAAGATGGGGCAATCTACTTCTGTAAAGGTTTACTGCCTTGGAAACCCAGTGGGGGTCACTATAAGTCAGACTCAACTCATGCCACTGAGTTTGGTTTTTTGGCTTGGCCTCTTCCTTACAGCATTAGTTTGAAATGTCTGAGGAGGTACAGGAAGTAGGGGATTTAAAACATTCTTTTATATTGAAATAAACATGGAAATATCTGGAAGCCAAGTGCAAACTGGCCTCCATTTTTAAGGTAAAATGTCTGCACCCGGGACCCTGGAGTGCTTGTGTACTTCTTTGTCCTTAATCATGGCGAGACCTGCTCTCTACAGCTCTGTCACAGATGGCTGGAGGCTCAGAGAGGTCAGACGCTTGCCTGAGGTCATACAGCCTGTGATGGCAGAGCCAAGACTCCCACTGAGTTGTCCGAATCCAGGGCTGGGTGATTGCCAGTGTACCGCCCAACCTCTCTACCTGTTTTGGTTCTCTAGTGTTGCTCTAACAGAAAATACCACAGATGGGATGGCTTGAACAAACATGGATTTAATCTCTTACAATTTTGGAGGCTAGAAGTCCGAGTTCAAAGTGCCAGCTCTCAGGGCTGGGTGAAGGCCCCTGGACCTTGGGCTTCAGCTCTGCCTCTTGTTCCCAGCCCAGTGGAGCTGGAGGCGTCTCCTCACTCAGGCAGCTGCTGGCTGCTGAGCCTGACAAGCCCAAGGTCGACAACTAATATAGCACAGTCTCAAGATTATCAAACAACATGGCAGGACACTTGTTCAAGTCTAGAGACAGTCCCAAGATCGGCAGGAAACATGGCAGACTGTGGAATGAAGACTCGGCTACATGCAGGGTCCAAGTGTGCCAAAAAGCTCCATAGACCTTTCTTGATGCTTCTTCTTATGTGTTGGAAGCAGACCACACCCCTAAGGCAGCTACTCAGCTGCTCCAGTAGATTCCGTCATGAAGTTGATCACCATTCTCATCATGGGGAATAACCACATTCAGCTGCCCAGCCACTCAAAACCAAGCCCAGCCAAGTTGATACACACCTTAACTACCACACTAACCCAGAGACACCAACTGTGGAAGGCTGCTGGCTCTGTACGTACAGGGGAGACTGAGAGATAAGGGGACAGTAACCACAGGGACCCTCTGCACTATCCTGTCAAGTGTCTGTGATTAACCAGGCATGGCAGCCAGTTTTCACGGTTTGATCCAGGAAGGATCTGAGTTGAGGTGCCTTTGGCTCTGAGGAGCAGGAAGCTACTGGATGCTGACCAGCAACAC